AGTGGTTGCACCATTTTACACTCCCACCAACAGTGAATCAGGGTTCCAGTTTCTCCACAACCTCACCAGCATTTGTTGCTTGCTGTTCTGTTAAATTTTACTATTCTTACTGGGGTGAGATGATATAGTTGTTTTGATTTGCATCTCAGAGCTAGGGATTTTGAACATTTCTTCATATGTTTGTTGGCCATCTGAATGTCTTCTTTGGTGAAGTGTCTGTTTATATCCTGTGCCCATTTTCCAATTGGATTGTTTATCTTGTGGTATCATTCATTTTATAAGCATGTCTGTTGTTTGGCCAAAAGTTCAGCAAGAGGGATGAGATGAGTTCTAGGCACAAAGACTAAGAGGGCTATAGTCTGAGGGAGTCCACCAATCTCTATCAGACCAGCAAGCCTGGCCACTGTGGTGATTCATGGGTTTTGTTCCACATTTTCTCCCACTCTGTTTAGGACTCCACTGTGATTCCTTTTGAGATTAGCTGTGTAACCTGACACTGTCCAATTCTTCTCCTCTCAGTGGAGGCTGAAGTTGATGTGGATCTTTACTCCTTTGGATAAATTCTTTCTGTGTGTCTGATTTTTTTTTTTAACTCTTCTTTGTTATGACCAGGAAGAAACCAGTAGTTGTCTTCTAGATCACTCCTTCAGACTTTTAAGACCCCATTTACTACTCACCCGGAAGTAGGATGTAGAATGTTTTCATGTACCTTTGATGTCCCTGCAGGTATGGTCCTGAGGCCCTAAAGCCAACAACTTCTTCCCTCAAGTTGCTTGCTTATGATTAAGAAGTGTATATAACTTTGCTTCCTGTTGGCAGTGCATAATACTTGGATATATTTACAACATACACAAACATGTAAAATTATCATCGGACAAGCCTACATATGTCATGAGTCAAATCACACAAATTGAGAATAAAGATTATTGCAGTCCTTTCTTCCCTAATGTCATTTCGTGGCAAGCATAGCTCTTAGCAACTAGGTGCCAAGCTTAAGTCCCCGTGCTCCTGATTCTATGGTACACTTGCCTTGTCTTTATTTTTCTTGTTTAGATGACAGCAGATTTGAGCAGACATTGTTTGAACTTGAAGAGGTTGCCTGTGCCAAGTGAAAGACTTTTTGATGACGGTAGCTATTATGACTGCGTAGAAGTAAAGACTGATGTCTCTGTCCATATCCCAGCAGATCATTGATCATTTTATACTAGGCGAGGCACCAAAAAAGCCATCTTTCTTTGTTTTTGTCTTTTATTTGAGTGAAAGTTTGTGAATCATTGTGTTTTCATTCAGTCATTCATAGGTCTTTTGGGTTATGAATGATTAGATTGATTAGTTCATTACATGATCTAATCACACCTTTGTTGTGTATTGTTAAAGGGTAGCTCTGAGCATGCCATTTCCATTCATCCCCCTGTGCATTCTTCATGTGTTGTTGAACTTGGGCAAAGAAGAGGGCAAGATACATATGAGTGTGTAACACCGTAATGACAGGTGATGGCATTCACCAAAGAGAAATTGCTCTTGTATTCTCCAATTGCTCTTGTATTCTCCAATTTATAACTATCCAAGTTCCTCATGGTGTTTTTTTTGTTTGTTTGGTTTTTGGTTTTTGGTTTGTTTTTTTTTTTAGTGAACTTTTTTATTATTGACTTTTGTTTGTTTGTTTGTTTGTTTTAAATGGAAGATTCCTGGGTGGCCTCCTCATGGTTTTTTGTAAATGTTTTTATTGTGGCAAAAATATACATAAGAAAACATTTGCCAATTCAGTGATTTTTTTAATATGTATTGCTCAGTAAAACTGGCTATATGTAACTATTGTATCTTTTCTGAAATTCCTTTTCCAACAACATGATCAGATAATCCTTAAAGATGATCATTCTGTGTTTAACTTTTTGAGGAACCTCGGTGGCTCCTCTCTTCCACAGCACCTGTATCATTTTGCATTCTCACCTCTGACAGGTAAGGGTTCCAGTTTCTCCATATCTTTGCCAACACCTGTTTTTGGTTATTTTTCATAGCTGAGATGATGAGATTGGTACAGGACAGAGCAGAGTTTAGAGCTGGTGTATATAGGGTCGCTATGAGTCGCAAGTGACTCGACGGCACATAACAACAACACATGAGGTGATATTTTTTTAAATTTTGTTTAATGTGGTTAACAATATCTACAGTCCAGCAGACAGTGTCAACATGTAGAATTCAGTGCTATTCTGAGTTGTCATTTACACATTAACTTATTGTCCCTAAACTTTCTAACTTTTCAAGTTACTGCTATCAGCTGGATCTCACATGGTTGTTTGAAAGAGTACAGTGCTTAAGGCAGATGACTTCCACAGAAGTTTTTCACTTCTCGAAATCAGTGACTCCTCTTGTTTTAAAGCCCAAATATCCATTTTATTCCAGACTGGTCTCTCCTCCACTTACTTGTGTTCAAGTCAGGTTTAGGAGCCCTAGATACCACTTTTATATCAAATAGGACTATTTCCATTATGAATTACATACAAATCAAACTTCTTATTGTTGAGTACTCTTAAATTGGAGCCAATCCCTGCAGCAGGTTTTCAGAGGAAGTAAATTGCATGGGAGGAAATAGCTGATGGTTCTTCCATGCAGCTGCTGGTGGTTTCTGACCATATGCCTTTGCATTGGCAGCACCAATTCCTTACCACCGGAAGGGAGCTCTGGTGGCCTAGTGGCAAGAAGCAGCACTACAATCCTGAAGGCATGTGGTTCAAATCCACAAGATGCTCCACAGAAGAAAAGTAGTCAGTATTCTCCCAAGCAGTTAACTGCCTCTGAAAATCTGCTGAAGAGTCAGCTATGGTTCCGTTCCAACGCCATGGTACACAAGAACAACAAGCCACTAGCACTCCCTACAGATCAAAACTAGTGGTGATAATAAAGGAAATGTTTTACTAAATGACAGGCATCTATGGCTGATAGATGGAGAAGTTCACTAACGACAGTCTCCATCTCCTTCCATCCGTCATCTATACTGTCAGCTTTGTCTTAGGCTGTCTGGTCCTTAAGCACCTTGTCCTTCAGCAGCATTGAAGGCTATGTACTTATTCACATCCCGCAGGCAGGAGAGTTCTGCTTCCCTTCTCCAGAAACAAAAGATGCTTGTGGGAGGGCTATCCTGAGGCCCAGTCCTGGCCTGGGAGAAGGCCTGTGCTCACTGGTCTGGTATAGATGTGAAAAGAAAGGGGTTTATGGAAGAGGTGTAGGAAAGGAGCACCTTCACTTCCCCATCCTCAGGTCAAAACCCTTACACATCTAATCCAAGGTTAGCTCTACCGCCGCTTCTCCCACCTCCAATGTTAGCATTTTCGTTCATGCCGCTTGAACCTCTCATCTGCACTATACGAGCAGTCTCTTAATGTCTTTTTGCCTCCATCCTAGAA